ACACTGTCTATGTAAAGCCCCCCCGGAAAACGTCCCAGTTCAACAAATCTATATCTAGGGGTGTGAGAATCCTTGTTAAATGACGTTTAACTAAAGTCCTACAGGGTTTAGAGTCCCAGTTAAACGACATTTAACTGAAGTCCTAAAAGGGGTGCGGGTTTTAATGTTTTTATCTTTTATCTTTCTCTATCTCACTGTTTATTCAATGTCACATACTGTTTTTATTTTAATTATGTAAAGCACTTTGAAATGCCTTGCTGCTGAAATGTGCTATACAAATAAAATTTGATTGATTGACTGACTGACTGACTGACTGACTGACTGACTGACTGACTGACTGACTGACTGACTGACTGACTGACTGACTGATTGATTGATTGATTGATTGATTGCAGGCACACTAGAAACACACTTAGTAATTTTTAAGTACCGTAACAACAATCCCTCTACCTCAAGTTTTTCTACAGAAAGAACCTGACAAGATGACATATTCAGACATCTCAGAGGTGTTTATCTGACAAATATATTTAGTTACAACAACTAGAGCCACTGTCAAAAAAGAGAGTACACCACATTAATTTCAGGTCCTCATATTTAACATTGTGGAAAACCACCCGAGACTGAATGTCTTTATTTTATTTTCTTATAAAGATCCTCTGAAAGCCTCATCTTTACCGATGTACTTATTTATTGGTCAAACTGTTTTTAAGAAACAGATATTTTCATCAGTACGTCAACAGTTACATAAAGCAGAAGAACTATTTCAGCAACGTTCAGATCTTTTTCCTTTACAGACATGAAATTAGACCAAACAGTCCCTGTTTGAGATTAGCTAGGACAAAACAAATTAGTTTTAATCGCCAAATTAAAGAAAGAGATATTTTTTTCATAATATTGTTCAAATTCAAACGTTTAAATACGCAAAAATTTGCAGTTTGGAAAAGTCCAGATTATGATGTCATAGGTTGGGAAGCTGCCAATGAAAGGTAATTCACATCTTCTAAGTTTAATGGAGGGACACCTTATAAAGAGGTTGGCTGAAGACAGTAAAAATGTATCATGATTCAAAGTGAAATTAGTCCTGTACCTGCATAGTTTGAAAGGCCAGTTTAGAGGCATTTTAGAAATGAAAATGCCATTACTCAAAAACCAACATAAAAAGACAGATTACAGGTACTTCAGTAAAAAGACTTTCATTTTGGAGATACTTTTCTGTGGTGTTCTGTGTGGTCTAATGAAACTACAGTGTTTGGCCAGAGTGATCATCATTACATTTTGTAGAAAAAAGAGGGAATGCAAAGGAAATATTGAAGCAATATTTCAAGACATCAATCAAGAAGTTAAAGCTTGACCACAAATGGATTTTCTAAATAGACATTGTCTCTCACCGTACCACCAAGTTGGTTACAAAATGAATTAACGAACACATAGTCAATGTTCTGAGTGTCCATCCCAATGTCCTCATCAGACTCCCAGAGAAAAATTGAGGAGTATAGCTGAAAATATATGTGTTAGAGCAAGAGGGTCACAAATGTGACCCAGTTAATGTGGAAGTTATTCAGAGTTTTTAAAATTCAACCAAATAATCAGGAAAATGGGTTGGAATTTCTGTAAAATTTTAAGGTTAAAAAAAATGTAACCTTTGAGTTCAAATTCTCTGACTTCTCTGAAATAGTCTGGAGAATGATTTTAAAACTTGGCTCTTTAAAATAGATTTTTGCAGACTTAGAAGTTGATGGAGGATTTTGCTTTGCATTACATTTGGATCCCCAAAAAGGAGAAAAGGATGTCTGGGGGTCTCTCTTGCTACCATGACCTGATTTCAGATAAGCAGAGACAGTGGATGGAGAAAATCTTTACAAGTAAAACATATTTTTCTCTGTGAATATAAACTGCAAAAACTCAAACTTGGAAACTCCCCTGTCACTCTTTCCAGACTGATGGGAGCAACAAATATACTCTTTCAGCCCTTTCCAATACTTTTTTGATTGTGTGATAAGGCAGGCCAGCAAATTATCAAGTCTTCCAGATCTGTGTAGAATCTCACATTTGTTTAACCAATATCACATGGCTGCTTCAGCTCTTTCTGCGTTTTTTTCATTGTATCTTAAATTCTTAAATTTAATCATTTAGAACATTTTGATCAGAACAGAAAGACTCTTACCACTGCCATGTGTACCGTTGTCCTTATCCCAAGCCTCCACTATCAAAGTGTAATCTTGCTGAAACAGAAAGAGGGGAGAGCAAAGGTTATCACAGTGCACAAAATGTACACATGAATGGTCCTACTGCCACTTCAGCATGTCCATTGTAAGATGCAGACATTTACATAGTGTATGGACTGAACCTATATAGAACATTACACTTAAGCCACAGTCAACAATTTGCACAACTTAACACATCGATTGGTAGGCAACTTGGCAATTAGTGCCTTACCCAGGGCTCATCGACAAGTGACAGGAGGAATCAAACCAACAACCTTCCAATCACTCTATACCCACCGGGGTACAGTCATCCATGCCTTACTTGACACGCCTTAACCACGAAAATTTTAGAAACTCTTAAATCTTCTCATGAATATTTTCATACACACATTCTATTGTAGGAATAATGGTGGGGAAAAAACTGCTGTTCCCACACTGCTGTCACTCATTGGCTTCCCTGTGCTCAGGGCTAGTTAAATAGTGCTGCTACATAGCTAAAAACACAGTAGACATTCACCTGGAAGCCAGCAACTGGTTTTCAAATTTTGCCTTACATAATGAATCTTAAAAATCATTTTCATTTGAGGTAATAACTCAGGTTACTATCAGGCAAATATTGACCAAGGTTAGACATGTTCATTTCTTTTTTTTTTTTCTCCTGGTCACAGAAGCTATGATTTTTTCTTTACTTATCTTCACTAGTGAGGGATTATTTTTTTGGACAAGAATGCTATAATACTAATAATACCCCTTGTAATTTTGGCAAGTGTCAAGAAGAAGGTCATTTTTGAAAGAAAGTCTTGAGAAGTCCTTTTTGTATTTTACCAGAAGCATTGAGGGGACAGCAAGTATGCAGAAGAAGCTGCTCTAAACAGAGGAGACTTTTCAGCCAACTGGAAAAATAGCTAATAAAATCTGGAACTTTATAATTATGAGCTACTTCAAATTGGTAAAAAATTTGATGTGAACGACTATGGTTAATCACTGATGGCACAGTTATTTTATAAATCTATTTTTTAAGTATTATATAAATAGACACTGTCTACTGTTTATCTTCTGTCAAGAAGCCCAGCATGGCTGCATTCCATGCCCTACTTTCCAGAGGAGATATAATCCATTAACAACTCAAACTCCAGATTGATTCAGGTGCAAAGTTTTTTTTCTTTCCCCTTTATTTTCATCAGCATCTGCAAGTAAGTTGGAGTTGGACCTTGCTTTCTGTCCTGGGTTCCTGGGTAACAGGAACTCATGCAGCTCATGCAGCTGTGAGTTCCTGTGACCCAAGTCGGGTGCAGAGTGACTGAAGGCTGCAGGAGAAGAAACAAAGTTGAGCTGCTTGATGTTAGAGACATAGATCTAAATAAAAACCAGAAATGTTACATGCACATAGATTAGTGGTTGGAAAATGTTCATATGTTGAATAGAATCCTCAACCAAATATGCTTTCATGATGTTGGAACTTGTTGCCTCAGGATGTGTCAACAACATCAAGCAGGCTGAAGAGCTGAACATATTTGTACATAGAAAGATTAGGGGGAGAATGGCTCAAACCAATGGATGTCAGGTTTGGGTTAGAGTCAAGCCCAGACTCTGGCCGGGCCACTCTGAAATATTTTTATTTTCAGAAGAAACATATTGGTGAATGCACTATATACAGGTAGGGCAATCACACTCTTTGTTGTGGAGGCTGTAGCTCAGTGAAAGAGACACAAATTTACCAATTTTCACTCCTAGTGAGGTGCTTAAAGAATCAGAAGAAGCATTCAATGGAAGAGGCTATTTAAAAGGAAACTTTTGTTCTATGACATGTCCAGATATCACTGCAGTTCATTCAGACTGCAAGAGAGTGGGACAGAGAGGGCTACAAAAGATAACAGGAAGGATGGCAAATATTTGAAGTAAAATATCAGACATGAGTTGTTTGACATAAGGTCAGCTGGTGAAGGTTGCATTCAGATTTGCTGCTAACACTAACACAGAGCTGTAATTTGTAAGCAACCATAACTCTGAAAAAGTGTACATGATCATAATGCTGCCACACAGCTGCTCTGCAGTTTGAACTGCTTTTCACATTTCAAGGTGTGTCTTAAGTGTGTGTTTTATGAGCACCACGATGGACAGTGACTGAGGAACAAAGAATCAAGTCAATACTACCCACAATGCCATGGCTTTAAGAGAGAACACAGATGGAGAGGAGATAAGGCATGCTGGGAGAAACCTAAGACCTCACAACTAATCTGCAAAAGTCCAAAGGATTTAAGTTTTCATTAGACGGAGAGAAACCAACACACTCCTCACTGCTTTCACCTGTTTAATGAATAAATTACTGCTGAGCAAACAGCAACACACAATTCTGTAGAGACCAATTGTATAGTCTGGAGCTGCTTCACATGCAGGAAGTTGGTTTATCACATGTTAATAGGTTATTGCCTCAGGTGAACATCTCCAACAGCAGAGAACTTAAAAGGACAGCCGTCTGATGAAAATCATTTAGACAAGCTAAATCACGGGCATGGAATATAGCAAACTTTAGATGTGCCTCTGCATTAGAACATCTTAATCAAACAGTTACTATCTGGACTAGAACGTGACTGCATGCTGAGGCAGTTAGTCTGCCATCCGGGTCAGGTGTGTTGGGCCAGGGACACATGAAGGTTGCAGCCTTCATGGCTTGGAGTTTCACTCCTTGGAAGTCCACTGACCAGGCACAGTTTTACTGTCTTCTAAGGAGACTTACACCACTGTCTTCTTATGCTTTTTTTCTTTAGTCTGATTCTAAGAATAAGAACAGCAATGTTATCAATAGGAAAAGGAATGGATGACCTGTCATCCTTCAACTATCTCAGTCCAATGTATGGACTGCAAATCACACAGGTCAAAGTTGATCAAATTGAGTTTGCAAAGTCAATCATCTAGACCTGGCCACCCTTGGTCAGCCTCTCTAGGCTTTTTGCTGATCTGCAGTAGTCGGTCAGTGAGAAGCAGGGTACTTCAGGAAATCTTTTTAAAGAATCATTTGAACTATTTCTAATGGATGATTTGGCTATGTCACGTACAATTAGAAATCATAGATCAAGTGTGCCAACACTTGATCCATGTGTTACTAACATGCAACATATGCTAGCATTTACAGCAACTGTTTTGGATTTTAAAGATTACAATTACATTTTTTAAAGAGATTCTTGATCCCAATTCAGTTTCCAGGGTCCTGATCAGTAATGAGAAAAACACTGATGTTACAACATTTTAGTATCTTTCAAAAACTCTAGAATATAGAAGAAACCACAAGTATTTTTAGCCTTTGAGTCTTAAATATAGGTGTTCAAATTGTGAAACATTCCAACTGAAAAGTACAGCTTGGAGGCACAATAACATTTCAGCTGCCATGCACTAAAACTTTGCTGATCAACAATACATTTAAGTTATTGCGTGGACTTTCCTGTTGCACAATGCTGCACCATCCTTCAGTAGTGTGCAACCAAGACGGTGAAAAGGTGAGGGGATGCCTGGCTGTTGTGGATGTGTATGTGGATGTATATGTAAATATCTCAGCGCATGTCACCAAAATGTTAGATTTGTTCTTTGGGTTGTGGAAGTTGGTGTAGTGTGTCCGCCGTACTTGGCTTCTGTTACTGTGTGCTGGGAGTATAACGATTAGTATTTGCTGTGAATTCTGAAGGTAAGCAATACTGACCGCCAGCTCCTCACTGTAACCAAATGTTACTTTTAATGTCTAAGTAGTTAGTTTTGTATCGTTATGTCTTTTTCTTCTTTTTTTTTAAATATATGTTGTATCTGTAACCAAAAAAAACAACAAAAAACTGTGTAATGTTGACAGGCAGATTTGCCCTGAATTCTGAAGGCGAAGCCGCTGCGCTGTCAAGTGGTCCAATTAAGCGGTCTGAACCACGATCTCAACCGCTGTGTGTGTCCGATTCCTGCCTCAAGTTTCCTTCCGACAACAACCCATTAAAGAAAACACAATGCAGAGTCTAAGGAACAGCGAGGTGTCATCTCAGACGGACAGGGTTACATATACAATTCTCCCACGCAGTACTGAGGCCCTTGTTTCTTAAAAGAATACAGTGTTAAACTGCCAACATGTCTGGCTTATGAAATATTCAATCATCTAACCAAAAACAACACCAAACAAGATATTGCCAAGAAGGATTGTAACTACCAAAAAGTAAAAGTCATGGTTTGTAAGTCATGTTACAAGTTAGAACTTGGGAAAATATTAGGGCTGTATAAATAAATCGATTTGGCGATACATATCGATATTTTCCGCCCTCGGAAAGTGTCGATTTTTCATCCGCGAGTATCGATCCGTTAAACCATAGGGGTCCATAGCCTGACAGCTCTTTTTAACGTCTAGTTTGTTACCGTAGCAGCCAGACTCCGCCTCCCTCAGTCTCACTTTCAACTTGAGCTTAAAGTGCACATTATAAACTACACACCAGTTTTTAAATTGTGTTAATAGGCCAAGTATAACCTGAGTTATGCTAAAATATTTTTCCGAATGTCAGACAAATGTCAAAAGCGCCGCCATTCCCCGGCTTTTCCGATTATGTGAGGGAATGAGCTTCCAAACGTACAAAACGAAACGAAACATTAGATTCCTGTTTTTGGAAATGTAAAATCTTCAATAAATAACGATGGGCTGTATTCTGTTCCTGAGAAACGAAGTAAAGTTGCGCAAGTAACCGTGAAAGAGAAGCGGAACGGAGAAGTGGAAAGGAGTAGCGGCGCGAAATGAGCAGCTGCAAAAGCAGTGAAATCGCGAAATTAATGCAAATTTTAACTGGTGGCATTCACTTCGTAATTAGTTTTTAGCTTAGCGGTTTCTGTTCTGTATATAAAGGATTACCTGAAGAATGAACATGGGATGATAACATCCGAAGCGGGTGCGCAGCAGGCAGCGGCGCTGTGTTTTGAGCAGGAAGACGAAGAGGAAAAAAACCCCAGCCGGAATCCGCGGCGCAGTGAGGATTTCCATGATAACAATGGCTGATCGATCATTCTTATTAGCAACAGACAAAAAGTATCAGAGACTGAGAGTACTATGAGATGCTGGCAGTCTGAGAGGCAGCTACTCAGAGATCCAAGCAGGGGAATAGCGGCGCTGCGTAGCTGCAGGGAGTCGATCACTGCGGGGTGAGGCGGAGCCACTACTTTAGCAGTTACGAAAGCAGCTTACAGCCACGGCTAACTCCGGGAGCCAAGGTAGAAAAGCCTTTTTTCCCATAGTCTAAAAGACTGCATTTGTGGCTGCATTTTACTCCAAAATGCAGCCACAGTGTCCAAAAGAAAAAACATAAGTACAATCATTTGCATATTGAGAGTCTACAGAGGCTGATAATCTCCCCACTCTGTTTCTGGATTACCGTTTAAACTTTTGAGTTTTATGTCAAATCCACATGAATTAAATGACAGAAACTAATTCTCTCACTGCGTCTTTGATTCATTTTGTCCAGCTGCAGACTGTTAGACTGTCCAATCAGAGTCAGGTATTGTGTAGTTGGTGCTTTTAATCAGTTTTCAGTTAACTAAATTCAAGTCTATGGAACACAAAATGTCACTAAAATCACTCTGTCCTTCTAAAATCTTTCAGAAAATCGTAAAAAAGCGATAGTGAATTGTATCGCTCAACAAATATTGTGATACATATCGTATTGTGACCAGAATATCGTATATCGTATTGTATAGTGAAATTATTGTATCACTACACCCCTAGAAAATATGGTAATTTTAATCAGTTTGGTGAAATGATACTAATTAAAGGACACAGATAACGTGTCCATCCACATGTTCTCTGGTAAAACATTTACTTTCATTACAGTACCTGGGAATAACAGCAAAAAAGAAAGGAAGAATGAGGAAATAGTGGTGAAGGCCTTAAGTCTGAAGCAGAATGAGAAATATTCCAACATTATGGCCATTCAAACACCTACTGGTACCCTTACTGAACCCTGCGAAATTAATTGGGTTTTCAAAACGTATTACTCTTCCCTTTACTCCTTTGAAGTAGTGTTGAATGCTGAAAAATGTGAGCAGTTTTTTCTGAATCTTCAGCTCCCTACTCTTGCTGATCAGGATTCAGAAAAACTTAGTGCCTCCATTTCGTTACCTTTGCCTCTATGAGGAAAGGTAAATCCCCAGGTTGGGACGGTGTCCCTCCAGAGTTATAACTCGCCTTCTGGGATACACTCAGCTCACCATAATTAATGTGGCAATTGACAAAGGTTCATTCAATCCAAGTACCAATGCCATGATAATCACATTGCTTCTCAAATCTAATACACAATGCACAATACAGTAACTACAGACCCTTGGCCCTCTTAAATGGGGATGTCAAACTCTATGTGAAAGTACTTGCAACGCGACTTGAAAGCTATTTATCTAGAGTGATAATGATCAGACCGGATTTATAAAAGACAGATTGGCATCTGACAATCTACGGTGCTTGCTACTCATTATTCACGTATCAAAGACATCTGATTCCCCATGCTCTGTCTTGTCTCTCGAGGCTGAAAAAATGTTCAACAGACTGGAGTGGCCTTATCTCTGGGCCACCTTGGACAATTTTAAACTAGGTCTGCAATTTATCCAAATGGTAAAGGTTCTTTATGCTAACCCATCTGTAATGGTGCATACTGGTAATACTTGTTCCTCTCTATTCCCTGTACTAAGGGGCACACGCCAGGGCTGCCCCCTCGCCCCATTACTTCTTGCCCTCTCCCTTGAACCGCTGGCCCAGAAAATAACTGGAGTAAGTCATCATTGTTGCATCTAAATTCAGTCGCACCAACCCTCCCCTTGCCATCTGGCATCCCAGTGGTGAGCCATTTTAGATACCTCTGGATTTCTCCCTCCATATTTCATATAGCTTCACACAACTTCCAGAGCGCATTTAATCTTATTGAGAAAGATCGACAATGGTGGTCAAAACTCCCAAATGCTCTTCAAGCCCGTGTGTCAGTAATTAAAATGGATTTTCTTCTGCGTGTTAACTTTGATTCCTCTTGCACCGCCAAGGGGTTACTGGGAAAAGCTACACTCTCTCATATCTAAATTCATTTGGAATAGGAAGAAGCCTCGTATGAAATTAAGAACATTTCAACGAAATAAAACACTTGGGGGCTTAGGTCTACCAAATTTCAAGATGTATTTTTGGTCCTTTGTGCTCCGACCTTTGCTTGTGTTGTAATCTGTGTTTTTCTGTGTTGTTGTTTTGAGATTTTCTGTGTTAAGTGCTGGTTCCCTGTGAGTCTCTGTCCTATCCTCCCTGTTGATTGATTCCAGCTGTGTCTAGTTTACTGATTACCCTCCCTGTGTATTTAAGTCCAACTGTTGTCTTCGTCTCTTGTCGGATCCTCATCGTGTGTACCAGTCTATTCCCCTGTCTTCTTTGTGCTCCCCGTTGTTCTGTACCTCGACATTAACATTAAATTCATCATCATCGTCATCCTGGGTCCTCCCTGCGTTCTCCCTCACCACTCACCACTCACCACTTCACTTTATGACAGCTTGTACGGTTTAATCCTGAGCCCTCTGTTTCTGGGAAACCAATTGAAGAGAATCTATCCAAACCACACAGGCTGCAAGACTTAATGTATTCTAATATACCTCCTAAAGAGGCCAGAACACAATTAGGATCAATAATTTCTTCTCTTCTTAGAACCTGTCATTCAGTGTTGAATCACACAAACACCAACCTGAAGTTGCATAAACACTCTCCTATATTTAATAACTTTTCCATCCTTATCCATCCTTTTCCATCCTAGGTGGAGGGATAATGGTGTCAGTGTTCTCAAAGACCTTATGAACAATGATGGCCTGTGTTCTTTTAGTGACCTACAAAGTGTGTACAATCTACCAGATTCTACATTCTTCTTTTATTTACAACTCAGATCGGCCATGAAAGCATACGGTGTGCCAAGGGGTGTGCCTCTCCCAACTCATCCTTTACAAGAACTTCTTGCCTCATGGGGTCAGGCACGTGGCATTGTTTCTAAATTATATAAATTTATTTT